TTTTATCTGTGTTGTTTACTCCTATATCCTTGGCACTTAGAATAGTACCAACTACATGATAGGTGCTCAATAAATATTTGTTGAATTTGCTAAATAAGTGTAGCTTTGTGCCTATCTGTGCCTGTAGGCTTTAGACTATCCACCATTCTGAGGTAATTGCTTTCCTCGATTCTTATGCAAATCACTGGATTATATTTCTCCTTTCCTTTATAACAAAACTTCTCAACCAAATGCTCTCACAATTTGAATATTTTCATGTCACATTCATTTTTCAGTGAATTACAATCTGTCTTTTCTCCTTAATACTTTCCTAAAATTCTTTCCCCTAATACTGCCAATGGCCTCCGAATTGCTGAATCCAGTGGCTTCTACTCAATTGTCATTCTGTAGGATTTTTTAAACAACACTGCTCTGTTACTTTCTTGCCCTTCAAGACACTTGCCTTTCTTTAGTGTCGAAGATAGGACACTCTCTTAAGTCCCTCTCCTACTTTCTTAGACATCAATTGTGGAATTGAGGGTTGTTTACTTTAACACCTGCATCCAATCTTCAAATCCCTGCATCTGGTCCCAGCCCTGTCTCCTAGTCTCCTACTCCACCAGCTTTGCTTCCAGGTGCCTTCAGTGGCAAAGACTCTGTATGAATTCCTTCGTTATAGATAGCCTTAGTGTGGTGGCTTTCTCATATGCCAGTTGTAATAGTGGTGTACAGCATAGGTGAAGCGGCTTAGAAGCAGGTGTGGGGGAGGGGGTGTTGAGGTCACATGAAGCTTATCTTGTTCCCAAGCACTGTGCAATTGTGTTTGCAGATTTTGCATTGGGTTTTGCAGGTTGACCTCCAGACCAATAGGTGGCACTTGAAGACAAGAACCAGCTGTGGTGGTAGCAGTGGGGTTTATGCTTCATCTTTGTTTACCAGGAGAAGCTCTTCGATTTCCCAGGCAATAGGCTGGCTTGTGGAATGCTCAGTGCTTTGGGTTCCAAGCTCAGTCTTGGGGGTGGGGCGAAGCTGTGAGAACCTGGACTGGGCAAACCCACACTTGATCCTCCCAATGGGAGTTGCAAGCACCAGCTCTGATGGGGTCCAGCGGGCAGTCACCAAACACCTGAAGATATGCCTGGGCAAGGAGCAGAGGAATCACTGCTGCACCGAGTTCCTTACATGGAAAGGGAGAGGCAGGCAGCCCAAGCGCCTAGCTCCCTTTCGGTCTGCAGAATCACTGGGGCTCACTTCCCTGTCTGGACCAAGGGAGTCATTTGTGGCACTCAGCAAAGTCACATGCAATTTGGCTTTAGATCTCAAAGCCATCCCTGTCTGCAAAACTCATTGCTTCAGCAAAACCACAGCTGTCTGGCAAAATCTCCACCTGCTCTAGTCCCGTGAAGGGAGAGAGCCCAATTCTAGTGCTCATGGCTAAAGCACACCCCACACTCAACTCTCAGTTCTGGCTCTTGGGGCCCCTCATCTGACCCAGTACTCCAATGCCTGGTCTGAGACTCTCTAATGCATGAAGCTGCCACTGCTACATGGTTGCTGAATGCTGCCCAGCTGGGTATGAGCCAGGATTGAGAATGGTGTCCTCCAACTGGGTCCTGGGTGTAGGAAAATCCTGGGATACTTCTTAGTGCCCTTCTTTCTCACAGTCTCTTGGCCTTTCCCCAAGTTAGCTCCAGGGCTTGGGAGTGACAAGGCGCTGTCCTTTGGCCTGGGCTCTGTGGTTTCCCTTTGGAAAAGTGGATCACCGAGGGACACTCTCTCCCTCTCTGCCTTATTGGATGTTCACTCAGTTCTCAGCTGGACTACACCATGCAGGCTGCATGCCAACCTTCTTTCCCTGGGATCTGCAGTTTTCTTTGCTTTTCTGTTGAATTACAGTGTTCCTTCTTGAATAAAAGTTCACAGTGTGAATCTCTACACACCGTTTTGCTTCTTCCAAGTGGATGAGGCAGGCTGGAGAAGCCTCTACTCTGCCACCTGGTCATCATGATGGCATTACTTCAGTGCATCAAGGGAGCATAATAGATCAACAACCAGGCAGCCACTAAAATCAGGAAGTCTGTGAATGCCCATTGACCTCGGAAAAAGTCGGTGAGATCCAGACATGGGGAGAGTCCATGTCCCTGTAGCCACAGACTCTGAATTTTCTTTATAGTTTCCTTTGAAGTACAAGTTTTAAATCTTGATGATGTCCACTTCATCTATCGTTTTCTTGGTTGCTTGTGGCTCTGTTGTCATATGTAAGAACCCATTGCCCAATCCAGTCTTACAAAATTTATACCTATGTTTCCTCCTGAGAGTTTTATAGTTTTAGCTCCTACATTTAGGCCTCTTATCTATTTTGAATTAATTTTTGTATATGGTAAAGGTAAAGGTCCAATTTCATTCTTTTGCATGTGGCTATCCAGTTGTTCTGCCACCATTTGTTCAAAAGACTATTCTTTTCCCACTGAATTTTCTTGAACCTCTGCTACATTTTTATCACCTTCAATTTGGCACTAAG